TACAGTGATGTCATCGTCTGTTTACACGAAGACCCTCACGAACAGCAGTCGCTGGCCGTGTGAGAGCGTTGTTTGATGTACTTGTCGACCCCGTGTTTATGTACCTAACATATAAAAGAAGGTGTTTTGCTTCTGCGCGGAACCCCCGAAGAAACATCCGGACCCTCTACTGCTGTAATGACTGTTTTCTTCCTTGTCGCGTTTGCCCTGCTTTCATGTATGGAACTCGTGATGATGCGTCTCTTCTTCATCAGGGTGACGTTATATTTCCAGGTACTCTGAAAGAACCGAGCCCTAAGCAAGAAATACCGGCGTATTTGATCAATCAAAAAAAAAAAGTGTAAGCTAAATTTTCCCGCACTGCCAGTTTCCTCCAGTAGTCTTACAGTCAGCCACGCGCAGTCCAACTGACTGGCACATGCCAACGCGTGGGCCCGCTTTAACCGGGTTACTCCGGTTGTTGAAGGGGAAAAAGTGACCTAGCCAAACAAGAGCTGCGTCTTTACGACCAAAGATGAAAGGCCCGCTGACTTTATCGCAGCGCTCGGCACTTCCCTTTCAGGAACACAAGGCAGCAGCGACTGCAGTTTCCAATGAGAAGCAGGTGTCGGCCCGATCTGAGCGGTTTCAGGCGCTCCATAATGAGGACCGGCCACCTGCGGGGGCCTCCTGCGCACAGGACACATAAAGAGCCGTGGAAACACAATAGCACTGCCTTCATCGCTACCAATGTCGTAATCATCTTTAATGCATGTGGCTGCGTGTAAATGGCGGATAAAAAAAAAAGGTTGGGATTTTCACCGACACGTCATCAACGTCCACCAAGGTGAAGCGAGGTTTAGAGAGGACACAGATGTTGTGGGCCACGTTGTTTGTCGGAAACCTCTGCAGCCTGTTGTTGGGCCAGGGTAGCGATGGCCCGTGAATATTACACCTGCGATGGTCGGAGTGGACAAGTGAGGAACGTGATTGGACCTGAAAGGTTCCAGGTGTGACTTATCCGCAGTGAAGTTCTGGACAGATACGAGTCCTTGGACCTTGGACTGGTCCAGATCTACAAACACAAGATCTTGTGTGACTCGAGCTCATCCTGGTCACTGGTAAAACTGGTCTATGGGTCCAAATCTTCTGGGTCCATCTCCAGCCCGATTCCTTCATTTATACAATGCATCATACTCTACAGGATCATTGAAGAGGCCGGACAACATCCTAGCGGTCGTCTTCTGGGGTGGAGTGCTCCCTGTCCTTTGAAGATCCACAACCCACCATTTACACCACAATGGCCAAATAACCTGATCTCCAAACACACCTTAGATGAGGAAGAACATCCAAACCTCTAACAGAAAGACTAGGGATCGAACTAGCAAACGGGTGATCTTCTTGCTGTAAGGCAGGGGTGTCAAACTCATCACCAGGGGGCCACATCAGCAATACAGTTCCCCTTGAAGGGCAGGTTGTAAATTGAAGACTGTACAGAGCAGGGGTCCCCAACCTCCGGTCAAACTGGCAAACCAGTACCAGTCCATAGGTCATTTGGTATCGGGCCGCAGTGGGAGACAATAAAAAAAAAAAACTTAATTTTTACTAATTTACTTCATTCAAAGAACGTCCAGTCATATCCATTTACTTTATTTATTTAAAGATAATCTGGCGAAAAATAATCTAATTTCAGACTCTGATACTAAGAAAATAAAAGTCTAAAAGATGTTTTATTTTGAAAATGTAATATTATTATTGATTAATTATAAAAACGTTTAATTTCTTAGGGTAAGAAACTCTGCTGCATGGACTTTACTGCTTTATTCTTTATAAGCTCCTGCGGGCCGCATTTGGCCCCTGAGCCTTGAGTTTGACATGTATGCTGTAAGGCAGGGGTGTCAAACTCATTTCCACCAGGGGGCCACATCAGCAATACAATTCCCCTTAAAGGGCCAGTTGTAAATGGAAGACTGTATTGATCATGTATAGCATATATAGAGTTTAGTGAATGCTTTTTAAGCTCCCGTGGGCCACACAAAACAGCCTGGCGGGCCGCATTTGGCCCCCGAGCCTTGAGTTTGACATGTATGCTGTAAGGCAACGGCACCAACCACAACTATGTGGCCCTCAAACTAAACAGTGTGGCCCACATATTTTTCCCTTTTCCATACAGCAAGTGCACCATATGGTTAATCAGGTCTCAACAGCACAAAGACATCAGGCTAACCGTGTGCTAATGTAAGATTTAAATTCATTTCATTCAATTATTTTACCAGACTTTATTAATTATTATTTTTTATGAATTTAAAGTTAAATTAATGTTCTGTTATTAACTAATGTTAAGTTACTAACTCAGAGTATTGTCTTCCAACAATATCAATAAATAACGAATCTCTTTATATGCAGATAACAACCTGATTTTATTATTTTATTTAGTACAGAACGGTATGTAATATATGAAGGTAACTTTATATATGGACACCGTCTGTTGTCTGTTACACACAATACTGCTGTAAATACTCTAATATTAACACAAATATTTGCTTCTTCCAAAATGAATTGTAGTAAACTCTCGTTGCCGCTGACGTTTCCTCGTAGTCGCATCAATATTAGTCAAACCGCTCTGCCGTGTATAACATTTAAAAATAAGAAGGTAAATATATAGATTAGCAGTCCCTGATTGGTGCAATTAACTGTTTTGACCACCAGGTGGTGAACAGTGTGTCCACAGAATAATGTAGTAATAAAGGTTATTGTTGCCATCTGTCTGTTCTATTTACTACATGAGTCACCACATTAATAAAAAAAAATTATATTTTTATAATACGCCGTGATCGCGTCGATAGCATCGGTCAGTGCAGTTAAAACAAACCTGGACAACGTTAAAGCTATTAAACTTAAGGTGTAAAATGACTCGTATCGCACCTTATCCTCGATCTGGGGCGGCGTCCACATTAGATTCTAAGACTTTTGGGTTTTTTTTCCTGTAGACGTGACATTTCTCACACTAAAGGGATAAAAATATCCTGGTTGTGACCAGTTCAGTGTCTCTGGAGGACAAACAGCAGCGCAGCACCGTCAATTACAGCTCGGTCTGGTTTGGCTGTGACTACTCTAACATCACACCAGCAGGGGGGAAAAAAACACCTCGCAGTGTGTTACGTGGAAAACACCCCTTAGGTTTAAAAAAAAAAAAGCTTAGCCAACCAGTGACTAAATGTGACGTCGGTTTGTTTGAAATGTCGTATCTGAGGTAAACGGTTAATTTTTTTTTATCCCCTACAGTCAAGTTTAATTTACAGTGACATTGTTGACGCACCCCCCCACCCCACCCCACCCCCAGCGCAAACAACAAACCTCTAGTTGTGGTTTCTTTGTTGGTTATTTTTAGCTCAGTTTCTACACAGGACAATATGTTGACACAAAAGTGGAGAAATTTTTAAAAAATTATGACGTGTTTACACAACAGCACACTTTTTTTTTTACAATTTAAAAATCTGTTCCAGATAATTAATTCATTACAGTAGTTTTAAGATGAAGTAAACTTCAGTCTGTATGTTCTCTGGTTCATTGCTGCCCTCTGCTGGCACATTATGAAAAAAGCGTTTGCCTGTACTTGAGTCCGCTTGAACTTAAATATGCATATTATAAGAGATTTTGGCGTTGTTTCATTACGAAACTGTTCAAATAAATGCTAACATTTAAATTCATAACGAGTTTTCGGTTTGTTAATACGCTACAGCAGCTAATTTGGCCCAAACTCTTTGTTTTTCACGTCTTTGTACACAAAACGAAAATGCTAAGATGCTAAAACAACACACGTAAATGCTGGTAAAATTCACAAACTATGCTAATGTTTATATTTCATATAATGAATATAGAAAAAATAGCGCTAGGCTAATGACATTTATACTTTAAATTAGCTGACCATTGTCAGGTGCAGTACTGTGTGTATATATTTTAGTAACTTTGCTAATGTTTTAAAGCCCCCAGCGATGTTTTAGGTTTAAAAGCAAACGTAAAGTTCCCTAAAATAAATAAATATTTTAAATACTCCCAAACTACACTGACGTGTACATTAAATATCTCCATTTCTTTAATCGTGAGGCCGAGGTAGAGCTAACGTATGCGGCTCAACGTTTTGTCAACGTAGTTGCTTGTTTCTTCCGAAAAATCACACTAGAAATCACACTAGTGATGTGTCGTTCGCGAGTGATTCGTTCAAAATGAGCGAATCTTTCATATGAGTCGTGACTCCCGAGTCATATGAAAGATTCGTGACTCGTGACTACCGAGTCATATTAAATATTTGTTCATATTGAACTCACGAATCACTCACAAATCACTCCCTGCGAACTAATATTTCACTGTGAACTAATCTTTCACTACGATCTAAACGAATCACTGTGAACTAATCATTCTCTGTGAACTAATCTTTCGCCGTGAACTAATCTTTCGCTGTGAACTAATCTTTGGCTGTGAACTAATCTTTCGCCTCGTTCTCGCAGATGCGTTTCATTTGTCACGTGACTGAGAGCTCGGGTCTTTTTTTCTCTCATTCATCTTCACATTGTTGTGTGTTTTTATTTCGTAGCTTTTCGCCTGGTTTTAATTACTTATGGCATTTTGTGTACTTTGTAGGCTTTGTCAGCCGAAGCAAACCATGTTGCTTTCAGTATTTAGTGTCGGAGAACCGCAGCCTTCTTTACAACGACCACAATAGGGCTAAAGCGCCACCTGCTGTAAAACGAATGAAATGATTAGTTCAAGATTCGTTTACGACTCGTTCATTTTACTGTTCGAGAGTCAATGATTCGAATCAATAAAAAGAGTCGGTCTTCCCATCACTAGGTAACACAGATGTCAACGTTGGTGGAGGCACAGTATACTTTAAAGCGTGATGACAAACTCTCGCGACACTCCCAGTAAACCAAAATGTCTTAAAATCAGGATTTAAATCTATCTGGTGTACAAAAAAAAGCATTTTTAAATTATTTCATAATTAAAGTATTAATACTCACACGGTACGAACATCTACGTTAGGTGAACACGAAGAGATCTTCTCCCCAAAGTGTGACTTTTAGCTTCGGCTCCGGGATTTGCATTAACCCGATACTTAGCATTTAGCTCTCCTCTCATTCACCTGTGCGGCGTTTCTGAATAAAAGTTTTCTCCGTTCAAACGGAATAACGTTCACTCTTTGTTTAAGACGGACGAGTAAGAAGTAAATCCAGATGTATTTATAACTTTCGTACGGAGGAGAAAAACGTTTCCAGAAACGTTTATTTATCGTATCCGTGTCCCGTTGGGGGCACCGTTCTTCCGCCATTTAAAAAAAAAAAAAAAATCCAGAACCTTCTTCGTGGTCCACGTTTAAACATGGATAACGACACAATCGTTTTAACGTTTTCATTTTCAATAAAACGACAAAACTACAGTTAAGTCTTAACAAATTAAATTATATAACGTTTCTTTTACTTAATTTTGTGAGTTATTCATAATAACAAGTTCTCTGGCTCGTCATCTTTGCTATGTGGCTATATGTTTCTCTCCTGAAAATGACGTACTATCTGACGTCAAAAGTAAATATTCACCACAGAATCTACTTCTGAATTTCACAATTTATTACTTTTTTTTTAACAGCTCTGTTTTATTCTCCAATATGGTAGCGATGTCGATTTGGTATGGCACTTGTGATACTTTGGCTCCCTCTTGTGGTACTGAGGGGAATTAAAAAAGTTTATGTACTATTAAAATTACGTTTTAACGTGGATGTGAGACTCTGTAACAGTGGGAAATTCACCGTAAAACCTACGAGGGAAGAAGTGACCACCATAAAGTCCACAGCTCTGTTTTTTTTATTTTGTTCTGTGCTGCATCCCCTCCGTTAGCTCTGTAAACAGTTCAAATGCTATGCATAATAAAAACAACAACAACGACAACAACAACAACAGTATGGACTTCAAGGATGAAATGATTTTCAAATGAGTCGATGCACTGTCTAATAAAAAAATTACTCTACGGAGTGGGAACAAACATCACAACCTCGCAGCTAACAACACAACATTTGTATACAATAAAATGTGTAGTGCTTCACTTTTCAAAATGATGTTAGTCAATAATTCCTGAAATGAAATAAGACAATGTTAGGGCGAATCCTGGATCAAAAGTTGGTCCAAAAGTTTTAGGCCAGTGTCCGTTTTTTTTTCCCAGCATTTTTTTTTTCTTTTTCAAGTGATTATTGCGAATGTAAAAAACCAGAAACCTCCTCTCAACAACACTGAACTACAGAAGTACTATCTATGTAAAAAAAACATATGGGTTGCAGGCCTAGACTGGGGACGCATGGCCATTGAGTGGCAGTGATTCACCAGGCTGTACAACCAATGAAAAAATATTTCGTTTTGTTACCAATAATCTTCTTGTACTACATTGGTTTTAAACACTTAAAAAAAAAAAGAAAAAATGCTGAAATAAAAAAAGTACACACCTGCCTAAGACTTTTGCACATCGCCCCAATGAAATTATTTTCTCGTGTGAAATAATTTGGTCAAACACCACTTCTCCGTACTCTCCAACCCGGCCACACTTTTGACGTCGCACATTACCGTAATTATTCCTCCAAAAAAAAAAAAAAAAAAAACCTTTCCATAAAAGTTATTTCATGGAAATAAATTCGCAGCGTGAACCCAATTTGAAATATATATTTATATATATATTTAGAGGGGAGCAGCAGAGTGGTAGGAAAAAAAATGTGCTCCTTTATTAAGGTGTATACGGTTCGCCTTTTGTTTTGATGATTTATCAGGAGCTTTATTTACGTGAAATACGGTAATCTGTCGTTTTTACCCTAACCCTTTTTTAAGCCCCTCCCCTCCAGCCTTGTGGGCGAGACAGACAACCCCAGGACTTTAATTTCCGGTCCCAGTTTAGTCTGGGACTTACGGGCAACACAGCCTAGTGGCGCCACCATCTGAATCTACA